TCAACCATTTAGAAATGAAACGAGGTGGAATTTTTCAAAGGATTGCGAATCTTTGGAAATCTCTACCCAGAGAGCTATGAACTGTCACTGAGTATGTTTAAGACAGCAGGTGACAGGCATTAGGTACTGCGTTAATTAAGGGATATAGGGATAGTGAGGGAAGCTGGAGTTGAGGTACATATCAGCCATGATCTTGCTGAACGACAGTCCACACTTAAGGGCCAAATGACCTGCTCTCGCTTCAATTTTTTATGCACTTAAAAAGGCCATTCAGACCAACGTACTTATGCCCAGCTCTTTAAAAGGAGAATCCAATAACTTCCAGTCCCCTGCAGTTTCTTCAGATCTGGCAGATTATGTTTTCCCTTTCATGTACTATTCAATTACCTTTTTTAAAATTTACTGTTGAATCTGCACTGTGATCTTTTAAGGCAGAAAATTAGGGAAGACCTGGGTTTGACTTCATTTCAGCATAGTGTTGAATACACCACAACATTCCTGCTGTGCAGAATCCAGAAAGAGCACAGAGGCAAAGTAGGATTGTAGTGTCAATTAAAGTAGCAACTAAAGTAGGATATGATGGAAATATAATAGCAAGAAAATGGTATAGAAGAACTAAATTGAAAATGCAAGCTTCGGATGAAACAGGGCACAACTAGGACAGAAAGTCAGCCCAGTATCAATACTGTTCAATCCATAATATAATATAAGGCAAATTTAGGGCTGCTTCCAAAAAGATTTTTTTTCACTCAAATAGGGACCAATATTTAGGATAGCTTCTTGAGTGGAGAAATGAATCAAAGCAAGTAGTAGAATATTAAGAGACAGTTTAGTGGTAGATTCTTTCTGTTGAAGGTAGAATGAGCAGAGCTTTCCCATCCTCATCTACCTGGTGATCTAGTGAGAGGAAAGGTAATTGTGTGCACTTGTGTGGAGATTGGATGTGGGCAGATCTAGTCCAAAGCCAAATGGTTTACTAAAATCACTGTCCACACATATACCTTTAAGGGCACCAGTGACAATGAGTTACTAAGGGCACTGACTATCTTTGAAACCAGCCTGAAAAAGGGGAAAGGAAACTGAGAAAGAGAAAATGTAGTTTTATGTCTGTCTCAGGAAGACAACAAATCATAGGACTGAGCTCTCTAATGAACAACAGCTTCGTGACTCACTCCATGAGGTACGTTATCTAACAAGTCCCATACGTTGGAACATGCTGTCTTATTGCACACCTGTGGCCTGGTTTATTTATATAGTAATCTCAATGGTGAAGTGTAAAAATTAAATTCATGGAAAAGTCAAAAATAACTTAACAATCTAACAGACTGGACAGTTTAAAATTGGAATTATTTAAATGGGTGTATGTGACCGATGATTTACCTATTGTGCCTCTTACAGTAAAATGATTACTCCACCAGGAAGCTGAATGTTTTACTTAACCCTCTGGGATCAAGTCAGTCTTTTTCCATAATATTACGCCAACATCATGCCTGTAAATAAAAAAAAAACTGTTTGTGCAGTTTAAGTCGGATCTAGATACGTCTGTGGTTATAGTTAGCAATGATAAGGGAGTTACATGCCATTGAAACAAATGTTTAATTCATAGCTACTCCTGCAATTAAATGAGGTTTATGGAGCTTCATTTGAGCTAAATATAAGCTAAATAAGAAGCATTGACAATTTTTTTTTTGTTTTCCAAATGCTAAAAGAATAATATGAAGAGAAATACTACAGAGTCTACACATGGGTTAAGTGAGAGGTCAAAAACTCGGCAAATGGAATATAATGTGGGAAAATGTGAAGTTATACACTTAGGGGAAGAACACAAGGAGCTGTTTATTGTTATCATTTTATTCATTTATGGAATATGAGCTTCACTGCCTAGGGCCAGCATTTATTGCCTGTACTAGTTGCCCTTAAGAAGATGGTGGAGAGCTGGCTTTTTGGGCCACTGCAGTCCACGTAGTATAGGCAGACCTACAATGTGGTTAGTGAGACAATTCTCGGATTTTGACCCAGCGTCAGTTAAGGAACAGTAAAATATATTTCCGAGTCAGGGTAGTAAATGGCTGGAGGGTACAGGTGGTGGTGTTCCCATGTGTTTTCTGCCCTTGTTCTCCTGGATGGAAGTGATCGTAAATTTGGAAGCTGCTGCTTAATAAGCCTTGGTTAATTTCTGCACTGTATCTTGTAAACGGTACACACCAAATGTGTTGAGCATCGGTGTGGAGGGTAAATTGAGTGGCCTGCTTTGTTCTGGATGATGTCAGACTTCTTGTTGGAGCTGTATTCATCTAAGCAAGTGGGAGTATTCTATCATACTCTTGACTTGTACCTTGCAGACAGTAGACAGGCTTTGGGGAATCAGGAGATGAATTACTTGCCACATGATTCCTAGTTTCTGAGCTACTCTTGTAACCACTATATTTATATGGCTATTCCTGTTCTGGTTCTGATCAATGGTAACAGTCAGGATGTTGATATTGCGGGAATTCAGTGATGGTAATACCATTGAATATCAAAGGAAATTGGTTAGATTCTCTCTGGTTGGAATGGTCACTGACTAGTACTTGTGTGGTGCCAATGTTACTGGCCACTTTTCGGTCCAGGCTGAGGATTAAGAAAGACTGCAAAAAGCTGCGACACAGAGGCATTTGGGATTTCTCATGCATAAATGGGAAGAGAGTTTACTGAAACATCAGCAACTAAGGGGGCTTGACTGAAGTCATCATAGGGATAGTCAGCATGGCGTTGTGTGGCGAGGTTTTTTGAGGAAGTCATGAAGGGTAGGGCAGTGGATGAGGGTAGGGCAGTGGATGTTGCCTACATGGATTTTACCAAAGCATTTGACAAGGTCCCTCATGGTAGCTTGGCCCAAAAGATTAAGTCACACGGGATCCATGGTGAGTTGGATACAAAATTGGCATAGTCTAGAAGACAGAGGATAGTTATAGTAGGGTGTTTTTCTGACAGGAGGTCTGTGACCGGTGGTGTTCCACAAAGTATCAGTAAAATCTCCTCTCATTCTCCTAAACAGTACAGGCTCAACCTCTCCTCATGAGAAAGTTCCTTCATACCCCGGATCAAATAAGTTAGTCTTCTCTGGACTTCCTCCAATATAGAACAGGACCAAAACTGTTCACAGTACTCTAGGTCTAACTAGTGCCTTGTATAGTTTTAGCAAGACTTTCCTATTTTTATGTTTCATTCCCTTTAAAATAAAGGCCAACATTCCACTTATCTTCCCTAATACAAGCTGATCTTGTATGCTAGTTTTTTTGTGATTTATGCATGAGAAATCCCAGATGCCTCTGTGTTGCAGCTTTTTGCCGTCTTTCTTTTGTTTGTAATACATATGAATGATTTGGATGAAGATGTAGGTGGTCTGATTAATAAGTTTGCAGGTGCCACAAAATTGGTGGAGTTGTGGATAGTGAAGGAGGCTGTTGAAGGATACAGATCAGTTAGAAAGTTAGGCACAGAAATGACAGATGAAGTTTAATCCAGACAAGTATGAGGTGGTGCATTTTTGGAGGTCAAGTGCAAGAAGAAAGCATACAGTAAAGCATACATAAATCACAAAAAACTAGCATACAACTAGCAAGACCCTTAGGAGCATTGATATACAGAGAAATCTTGGGATGCAAGTCAATAGCTCCCTGAAAATGTCAACACAATTGGGTTAGATGGTGAAGAAGGCACACAGCATGCTTGCCTTCATTGGTTGAGGCACTGAATATAAAAGTTGGCAAGTCATGTTACAGCCGTATAAAAAACCTTATTTAGGCCACATTTGGAGTATTGTGTGCAGTTCTGGTCGCCACACTATAGGAAAATGTGGAGGCTTTGGAGAGGGTACAAATGAGGTTTATCAGATGTTGTCTGGATTGGAGTGTATTAGCTATAAGGAGAAGTTGGACAAACTTGAAACAAAAACAGAAATTGCTGGAAAAGCTCAGCAGGTCTAGTAGCATCTGTGGACAGAAATCAGAGTTAACTTTTCGGGTTCAGTGACTCTTCTTCAGACTAGTGAGGACCCCCAAACAACAGTGAGATACATGATCAAATGACCTGTTTTAATCTTGTTGATTGAGAGATAAATATTTTCAAATAATCCTCCCTACACTTCTTCAAATGGTGCTCCAAATCTATGACAACTAGCTGAGAGAGCTGAATACCTCCATCAAGAGGTGACACATCTGATGGTGCAGAACCCTTTCAACACTGCATAAAAGTATCTTCACTATTTTTTGACATAAAATTTGTATGGCGCTATTATCAGACACAAAATAAGTCTTGTTTGTATAACACTGTTGATAGCTTCAGATGTACGAAAGTGTTTCACTGCTAGGCAATTACTATTGATGTAAGGTCACTCTTAAGTAACAGCAGTCAGTTTCGATCTAGTGGGACCTCACATATAGCAATGGTTATTTAATCAGTCTTAGTTTTGTTAAATAAGGAATGAATGTTAGCCATTGCATCAGGAGAATTCCTTCCTCTTCGAACAGTGTTCTGCAACTTCATTTTAACGTTTCCAAAATTTCAGTGCTCCCTCAGTAATGCTGTGGCAAGTCAGCCTAGATTACAAGCTGAAGACAGCTTGTGTCCAGCGTTGATTCACAGAACATTTTGAGATGGAAATGGGCCCTTTTATCAATAACCTTGTACCTGTTTTTCTCCATAAACCAGCTTGTCAAACCCCAGTCCCTGCCTCGTTCTGCAGAACATTCCCCCCTTTTCAAGGAACTGGACACATTTTTTTAAAAAGAAAAACTCACTGACTCCAATTGTTTGGGGTGATGTTCTTTGTGTGTTTGTGCCGGGGCCAGATGGAGATGTTTTTGAGGCACTTGCTCCTAATTTTGGGCACATGTCCAGAATCAGCCAGTGAAATGCTCTCCTCCACCTCTTGATTAATGAGTTTTTATTTTAACGTCCCATTTTCAGCTCGACACCTGCCATTACACTCAGTAAACCGGAGAAGGGCTTCACAGCAGATGTTCGTAGCAAGTCTTTCCGTGAGTGACTCCGTAGATTTGGCACAGTTTGATAGCCTTCTTGGGCTCAATGTCAATCGTTTTAAAATGGACACCACTATGTTATTGTAATTAAAAGTTGTTCACAAATTCAAATGAAAAAAATCCCCTACAAAACATCATAAGCAAAAGTAGACTGTTTGATCCCAAGTCTGCTCCCCAGCAAATAATTATTTTGTTGATCTGAGTTTGGCTTTTACTCCGCTTTTTGCCTGTCCGCCATAACCCTGGTCTCCCTTGTCAATCAAAGATCTATCCAAACTTTGCCTTGAATGTATTCAATGACTAAGCCTCCTGTGCTCTCTGGGGTGCAGAAGTCCAAAGTCTAATAATCATCTGAGAGAAAACATTTCTCCTCATCTCCATATTAAGTGGGAGACCCCTTATTTTGAATCACAGGGCTGTAGTTCTAGATTCCTGCATGAGAGAAAACATGTCCTATGCATTTACCTTGTCAATCCCCCTCAAAATATATATCCTTCAATAAAATCACCTACCTCTCCATTTTTCTAAACTCCACTGAGTATAGGCCCAACCTCATCAACCTTTTCCAATAAGGCAAACCCCGTTATCCCAGGATTTAGCCTAGAAACTCTCCTCTGAGCTGTCCCCAAAGCAAACATGCCCCTTCTTCAGTAAGGTGACCAAAACTGCACAGAGATGTCTCACCAATTCCCTGTACAGTTTTTGCAATACTGTACTTCCATTCAATATTGCAATAAAGGTCAACATTTCATCAACCTTCTTAGTTATTTGCTATGTGCTTCATGTAAAAGGACACTCTACTATAGCTTTCAGGAGTCTCCCCATTCAAATAATATTCTGCTTTACTATTCCTCCTGCCAACCTCGTATTTTCCCAGATTATACTCGATCTGCTAACTTTTTGCCCAGTCACTTAATCTATCAATACGTGTTTACAGGCTGCTTGTATACACCTCATAACTTGTTTTCCTTCCCATCTTTCTAACATCTGCACATTTGGCCACAATACAGTCAGTCCCTTCATCAAAGTCACTAACATGGATCATTAGTAGTTGAAGCTTCAGCACTGTTCACATTGGGACTCCACTGGTTACAGTTTTCCAACTTGAAACTGATCCATTTATCCAGACTCTTGGTTTCTTGTTAGTTAGTCAGTTCTCTATCCATGCTGCTATATCACCCTAACATCATGTGCTCTTGTGCAATAATTTTTTATGTGGTATCGAATTAAATGCCATTAGGAAATCCAATGATATGACATTGGAAGTGGGAAGGTAGCAGTTGTGGGGGGATCGTGAGGAAGAAAGCGAAGTTTAGCAGGTGTATCTGATTTTAAAATTGGTAACTAAGATATCTGTTTCCAAAAATGTACCTTTCTGGTGGCACCATTTAAGGACGGCTCATTAAGCTCCATGTTGACTTTGTTTAAATAATAATTTTTGTGCTATTAGAACTGAATGTCAATATTGGAAGAGATCACTCAATCTTGATCCTAATTTTATCATTAATCATTTTTGAGTCAATGAATAGTGGAGGACACGATTCAGTTTGGTAAAAAAAAGCATCAAATGGGTATTAACCCTCTTAATTGCATATGTAAACCACCCAAGCCTTGTTTCAAGCCATCCAGGTCTCTTTAATTGATAATGTGCCAATATTGTTGACATTGTACCTCTGGTTCAGATTGTGTTCACACATAATTTTGGATGTAAAATGGCAGTTGTTTCAGTCATGAATATTGACATTCTTCACTTCTTTAAGCAAAAAAAAAACCTTTTTTTTAAAAGACCAAAAAGAATCTGCAGTTTGGATGGGCAAACAGAAGTGAGTCAGTCCAAATGTGCAAATTAGCATCCTTCTCTGTGGTAGGGCTGTGGTAGTATTGAAGCACAAACAGGCCAGCCGGTGAGCTCACTAACATTTGGTTCCTAAAAAATTAGCTGTTCTGCAAAACATCTGTTAAGCTGCTCAGAAAGTTAGCTTTCTCAACTCTGCTGTCCTGACTTGAAGAAACTGAACATCGCCAGGGTCCAATTACATAGGCACCAATAGCCTTACACTATCCTGTCTTTGACCTCAACCACTGACTTCAGCCCCAGGTGTATCAGAGTTCAGCCCCATCTGCGCTCATCCAACATAAATATTTAGAGCTGAAGCAGAGGTCAAAGGATAGTCGTTGAAAATATCCTAGTTGAATAATTATCCATGTAGGTTCCACATCTACATCATCCCAGACTAAGGAATGAATCACTGAAATTCTCAAGCCTGGCTTGGTGTAGATCAATACTACTTCATACAATTAAAAAAATTACTTCTGGTGTGCTACCAAGCCCCAAAATTACCTTTTGATTTGCTATGGTTTGCAGTGTTCATCAGGGAGTCTTATATCTCATTCAGTAACTACAGAGTGAACGATTATATCGGCACTCTTTCTTAATCTTGCAGAGACTGAGCTTTGTACTCAATGATTCCTTACTAAAATATTTACTATTATTTCAGTCACGCGATCAATGCTTTGCTTAATAAAAACCAAACAAACTGCAGATGCTGTAAATCAGGAACAAAAACAGAGGTTGCTGGAAAAGCTCAGCAGGTCTGGCAGCATCTGTAACGCTACCACTAGCCCAGATGGCGTAGGCTTAGAACAGAGCTTGTTAATCAAAACTGAACATCCAGAAAGTGCTACAGGCCATCAGCAGCAAAACTGAATTTCACTATTATCTGTTATGCCATTCCCAATATGTCTTTCACTGTACCAGTATCATTAAGCCAGGTATCAAACCTAGTTTAATGATAGTGTAGGAGGGCATACAACACAGAACTGTGTGCATGCTGAAAAGCAAAACCAGAATACAATATAGACAGTACTAAAATGGATTTGATTATAGCTTTGAAGTTCTACCATATCCAAACATGAATGGTGATGGATAGTTATAGAGAAGGCTGTAGCATCTGCAACAATCAAACCTTATGCTTGTGAACTAGCCATTACCCCAGCTAAGCTGTTCCTGTATACCTACAACACTGGCATCAACCTGCCAGTGGTAAATTTCCCAAGTATAGCCTATCCACAAAAAGCAGGACATATCCACCCTCATTATTACAGCCCCATCAGGCTACTCTCAATCATCAATAAAGGGAGGGACAGTGTTGTCGATAGTACTATTAAATGTCATTTGGTCCACGAGGACCATTGAGCTGCAGACTAGATTACAGCCTTGATCTAAAAATAAACAAATGAACGGAGGTCTTGAGGTGAGATGTGAGTGACTGTCCTTGACTTCAGGAATTCTAAACAAAATTGAAGTCAAAGGAAATCAAAAAAAATCACCACTGGTTGGAATCATAACTAGTACAAAGTGAGACAGATGATTGTGGTTGTTGGAGGTAATTCATCGGCACTCCAGGATATTGCTGCAGGAGTTCCTCAAGGTAAAGTCCTTGACCCAACCATCTTCAGTTGCTCATTAGTGGTCTTCCCTCCAACATAACCTCTGAGCCTAGAATGTCTCAAGATCTGTACAATAATCAGACGTTGTTCTGATAAGTGTCATATAACATTAATGCTTTATAAGCGCCAAGCAATGATGACTCCAATTAGACAGAATCTAACAATCTCCCCCTAACATTCAATGACATGACCTACCAATGGAAATCACCCACTAGCAACATCATGGAAATTATCACTGACCAGAAATTTAACTGGAATCAGCCATTTAAATACTGTGGCTGCAAGATATGTCAGAAGCTAGGAATTCTGTGGTGAGCAATTCATCTCCTTACTCTCAAAAGCCAATCCACCATCTACAAGGCACAAATCTGAAATATGGTGAAGTATATAGAGTCATATAGCATGGAAACAGACCCTTCAGTCCAACTTGTTCATGTGGAACAGGTTTCCTGAATTGAACTAGTCCCATTTTCGTCCCTTTGACCCATATCATACTAAACCTTTCCTATTCATGTATCTGTCCAAATGTCTTCTAAATCTTGTAACCGTACCCACCTCTACCACTTCCTCTGGCTGTTTGATCCATATACGCACCACCTTCTGTGTGAAAACATTTCTCCTCACATCCCTTTTAACTCTTTCCCCTTTCACCTTAAACCTATGCTCTCTAGTTTTGGACTCCCCTACCCTGGGGAAAAGACTTGGCTATTCATCTTATTTATTTTCTGGAGTCCTGGATGGATGCAGTTTCCAACAAGACTCAAGAAGCTCAACATCATCCAGGACAAAGAAGCCTGTTTGATTGGCCCCCATCTATCAACTTAAACATCTACTCCCTCCATCATGGGTGAACAATGGCAGCAGTGGTATACCATCTTCAATATGTGAGCAACAATTCACCGAGGTATCTTTAACAGCATCTTCCAAACCTGTAATTTCCACCAGCGAGAAGGACAAGATCAGCACATACATGAGAACACCATCACCTGCAAATTTCCCTCAAAGCAACACACCATCCTGACTTTAAACTAAATCACCATTCCTTGACTGTTCTGGTTCAAAATCCTGGAACCCAATCCCTACAAGCACTATAGATGCACTTACACCAAATGGACTGCAGCAGCTCAAGAAGGCAGCTCATCACACATTCTCAAGGGAAATTGGAAACAGACAATAAATGCTGGCCTTGCCAGAATTACTACATCGTGCGAACGCAGAACAAGAAAGAACATATGGAAAAAGACGGTTCAGAAAAGCCTAATTGTTTGTTTGTTTCATTCCTATCAGAATGGAGAGATCTGTGGTGATAATGGTTCCAGCAAACTATGTGTTTATTTTACAACCGCCACTTGTTAGTTCTTGTGGCGCAGTGAGAGTATCCTTACCTCTGCAGCAGAAACTCCAGTTTGATTACCAACCCTTGGGTTGTTCACCATGGAGTGTGCTTTTATAATGTGGCCAAATAGGTAATTTGTCACCTGTAAATTCTTTCAATCCACCTGTTGGGCTGATGGTAAGAGCAGAAGATTCTCCTGGTTAGCCATCCCGCAGAAGCGAATGGTAAAACACTGCAAATATTTTGTCCATAAGCATGGACCAATGCAATGGAAGTCCATGACCCAAGCCTCTGACATAAGGATTGAAAAGACGCCTGTTAGCAGACAACTTCAGTGGCAATTAAAAAATGCCCACTGACTGCCCTACTTAAGATGTTGAATGGATTTTGTTTGTATTATAAAGTTCCATGATGGTTAACATGTTTTTAACATGTTTATTAGACTAGTCTTGGTGTATTTTACACAGGGGCTGGCATTAATGTTACTCATTTAAAGACATAACTTTGCAATGGTAGGTTGCCAACAATAGTTCATTAGTGTGGTATTATTGATCTGAGGTTTAAAGTGTTGAATTATACAATAATGAGTGGAAAGTTGGACTCTCGTAAGATATCTTTTTTTTCCTTATTCTAAGTTAGTGTGAATGGTGCCACGTAGGTACGGTAAAGGTACACACTTTTCACTGTATTTTTACATGAATACACGTGACAACAAATGATTCATTTCAATTCAATATTCTGCAGAGAGGTGACAGACAATACACATTTTTCAGACATATCCTTGATCTATATTCATTTAAATGAGTGGCTAACCTTATTCTGATCTTGGTACACTATCGTTCAAATTAAACCCAGTGTTGTACTTTGCAAACAGGAAGCTGGTTCTCATTGTAGTCAATGGTATTTTCAATAATAACTGGTTAACTAGGTTTAACTAGTTAAAACTGTCCCTAATTTATTCTGATGCAAAGGGGGATTATAGATTTATAGACCTCACCAGAATCAGTCATTTTGTTAATTATCTGAGGTACTTCAACCACATTTTGATCATTACCTATCCATTATGTTCCATTTGGTGTAAAATGTGATCCTACTTAAAGACTGCTTGGGGTGTACAGCCTATCACCGAAGTTTTTGAGCTGACCATTGCTTCTCTTTGATTTTCTCCATTTTTCCTGTGTGAAGAAGTTTGTATCTTTTCTGTGCAGCCTCCATTGTCATAAAGAACTTGTTATGTCAATGATCATTAAAACCCACTTACATCCCGCAATCAGATTCTGCATAAAGCAAACCATGTGATCCTTCACTCAGACAGATGTCATTGCATACCTCTTCCATTAAGAATGTTGTCCGAATATTATCATGTGTTTCCTGAATTTGTATTCAGCATATGTTGTCCACCCCTAATTGCCCTTGTGATCAGTTAAGAGTCAACCACATTGCTGTGGATCTGACATCATATGCAGCCCAAATGGGTAAGGATGGCATATGTCCTTCTCTAATGGATATTAATGAACCATATGGGCTTTGCAGCAATTGGTGATAGATCTGTGACAACCTTTACTGAGACTAGATTTAAATTCCAGACTAATTGGATTTAATGTTGACTATTTTCTATGGTTAGATTTAAGCCATACTGAGCCTTTGGATTACGAGTCCAGTGATATTACCAATAGACCACCACCTTCCCCCTCTATATGATATCGAGTCACACCAGGAAGATCCTGGGTTCTGTTTCTTGTGTATAATTAATACAACACTTTGTATATATGTGATAATAGGTTGACAGCAGTATAAAACATATTCCAGTATGTGATCAAGTTTGAATAAATTTAGATTCAGAAGAGTTTATGCATAACTCTTTCACATGATTCATCATACAGGTTTATCACTGATGCTACCTGTTTTCACACAATCTGATCATTCAAAATCACTTAAAAGGACATAGTTATAACTAGAAAATACTCAATAAGTCTGTAAGCATGAGGTTACTAAAGAGCATTCCAAAGATGGAATATTTGAAGTGAATTGTCCAATAGGTTTTACTGTTTATATTTGAGACTTTTCTTGTGTGAAAGATGGGGAAAAATGGTCTTTTGATGTCCAGATAACAGAAGATAAAGAGAAGATGAGTTGCTTCAAATTTTTGAAGATGATGATGTTCTGCTTCAATTGCATCGTCTTTGTAAGTATCATAATAATTAATTCAATGGAATTCTTGACTAAATGTTGGGGACACTAATGTCTAGAATCATAGAGTGCCAAACATAGGTTTTAATGCACAAACCCACCTGAACCATGCAAAATGTAGCATTATCAAATAAAGACCCTAGAGACATTGGACAGTGAGACAAAAGAGGTTTGAGTATTGTATGGTGCAGGGAGAACTCTATCTACAGACTACTCTCATTACTATATTCAACATCGTTTCTTTAAAGTTCTGTTTAAAATGTAGTTTCTTCTTCTTAGTTTTCTCAAAGTTTAGCTTTCTTTTCCTAATTTCATATTTGGTATATTTTCTTCACCCAAATCTAAGCCACCAGATTGAGTTGGAGAACTTGCTAGAGAGATAATATTGCTTGTATTCATGCACAAACCAACTATTTTTGTTTCACTTTCCTGATTTGCTTAAGCTCATCATTTTCCTGGATGAGTGCAGCTCCAGCAACATTCAGGAAGTTGAACAACATCCACAATAAAGCAACATGCTTGACTGGCACTGCATCCACCATCTGCAGCAATTCACCTAACCATTTGGCCAGTTCATGTTGTGCAGAACCAGTCATAGATAAGACTGGATATGGTAAGCTGTGAGGATGAACCCTATCAGAAATTTACCCAGCAGCCCATTGCTCTTACATAAGTCCAGCTAACTTTTTTTTAAGCTTGTTTTCGAGCAAGGCTGACCAGTCATGCTGAGCAACAGGTTCAAAGGATTCAACTTGGGACCCGTCAGAATGTTGTGCATTTTGATGAGATAGTCACACTTATTAAGGATGATTATTCCTGTTTTTTGTCAGGTTTACGGATATGTATGTTCAGGTACGTCTTGAGGTTACCAGAAATTTGCATTGCATTGAAAATATATTGAGAATGTATAATCATTCAGAATCCCTGAAAATAGGACCAAGCCATTTGTTCACCATGTGAGCTTAATGCCAAAATCGGGTGCATCAAAGCTATCCAGTGGGGTAATATCTGCACTATTCAGATGATTCCTTGGTGTATATCACACAAATTCATGAATCTGCCTAAGACCATGACTTTTAGTTCTGAAAAGTGCCTAGTCTACCTCAGAGTACCCTGGAGGGTAATGTCTCTCAATAATCTGAATAATAGGTGAAGCTAGCTGAGTCATTCTTCTACTATACAGGAGAAACAGAAGTAGTATTCACCACTAACAGGATGCTATCATAAAGTCAAAAAGATGTTCTGCCTGTGTCACAAATAAGTAGTGTGGGATACAAATTTCAGTCAGGTTTATGGGCCGTACATCCATACAAAGACAGGTGTATCCAATCAAATCAATCAAATATGACTTTGTCTGTAAGGGTAAAATATTGACTATACATAACCAGCCTGTGCTTGCAAAACTTAAAACACAGAGTTCCAACATTAGATGTGATACTGTGATTGGGCAATATTTACTAAATAATTCTGTATGCTCTGAATTACACTGAAACCAATTTAGGATTGTTTGTCAGGCTTGTGATATTGTCATGTTTGCATGCACTGGAGGCTACATTAGTGAATATATACAGTATCTTTGCAGACATAAACAACATGTAGCCCTATTTTGACTCCACAAAACAGGTGACAGCCACTCTCTGGTCCAGTTCTTACAAAAAGGATTGAAACAATCAGCTTGACAGTTAACTGTCAGTCTTCATCTAACTGGTGCATTCTCTATGGAAATGCCTGTATCAATCAGAGTCCATTGGGCTGCAAATTAGGATTCTCTTCTCATATAGTATAAAGTTCTTTCTTCCTTATACCTTGGTATTTCTTGCAAATTGTTCTGATGGGCGGGCAGCATGGTGGCTCAGTGGTTAGCACTGTTGCTTCATAGCACCAGGGACCAGGCTTCAGTTTCAGCTTTGGGTGACTGTCTGTGTGGAGTTTGCACGTTCTCCCTGTGTCCGTGTGGGTTTCCTCCCACGGTCCAAAGATGTGCGGGTTGGCTGGATTGACCACGGTAAACGTAGGGTTATGGGGATGGGGTGGGGATCTGGGTTTGGGTGGGATGCTGTTCAGAGGGTCAGTGCAAACTGAATGGACTGAATGACCACTTTCTGCAATTTAGGGATTCTGTGACTGCAAGTAGCACCCAAGCTAGGTACCACAAAATTACTATATACAGTATAATTAAATGTGAGCTATGTGTACACAAGAACATATGAAATAAGATTTGGAGTAGGCTATTTGGACCTTTGAACCTACTCCATTTTTCAGCCAGATCTTGGCTAATATTTTATCTCAACTCCTCCATCCCTCACTATCTCCACATTCCTTAATGCCCTTATCATCCAAAAATCGATGCAACCAAAGCCCTCAGAATTACAGAATTCCAAAAAATTCACAAGTTATTTGAGTAAAGAAATTTCTGCTTATCTCCGTTCTAAATGACCAGCCAAGGGAAACAACCTTTTAGCATCTACCCTGTCAAGTCCTGTTAAGAACATCATATGTTTCACTTCTCATTCTTCTAAACCTTGCCTAGGATGATCCCTTCTCCAGGAAACAATGTAATTTTATTCCCTTTAGACCAAGAATATGCTTCCAAACAGTAGTCTCAGCATGGCCCTCACCCGTGCCTGTGTTATAGTAAAAGTAGGTATAGATGTACAGAATGAATAGATCGTTTTATGAGCGTGCACAGCACATTTAAATAAAATATTCACTCTTACCATTGATTGATTTGGAACTAAGATCCTTTGTTAATGCGCCAATGCTTTACAAATCAGTTTACTAACAAGAATGTCACTTTTTTTGTCATTTCTAGCTCGGAGGTGGTGCTATATTGGGAGTTGGAATCTGGGTGAAAGTGGATGCCGGTTCCTTCCTTGACATCCTGGCGGAACTAGCACCACAGCTGAAGCAACTGGTGAATGTGGGGTATCTCTGCATTGCCATAGGGGCCTTCTTAGTACTGATTGGTTTCCTGGGTTGCTATGGAGCTGTGAAGGAGAACAAGTGCATGTTGATGATAGTGAGTAAAAACTTCTTGTTTGCTAGAGCTCTGGGTTCTGCTGTTGAATGGCTTTGTTGGATATGAGATTGAGTAGCTGAGCTACACAGGTCAGTAACATCTTGGCTCAGTCAATGTTATCTGGTCTCAGCTGGAACAAGGACAGGGGTATTCCAATTCTTCTCGGGTATCCCATGTGAACAATATGGAAACCATCTAGAATTCTTGAACGCCAGCTAATGACCCTTGTGAATGTCAGATATGGGTACATTAAGTTCAGCCATGATACCTTCTGCAATCGAATGTTAACCCTTACTTTTTATGCTCAAATAGAAAAATGAGTACTTGATTAAGGAAATGAGGCTAGTAAGTAACTGCACGAAGCCTAGAATCAACTCCTGCCGGAGTAATACCGAAGAGCAAATTGGAAGATGAAAATAAGGGGAAATTAGAACTACAAATTAGATTGACATAAGAGTGTGAGTCAGTTTTGTGCAGTGTGAGGAAAGAGTGTTAGTTGGATGCTGTTATCTTTTAATCACATTGAGTCTTATAACACAGTATGGCTAAACATTTCAGAATTTCATAAATCATGTCACAATTCAGTAAGTCATTTGCAATAGGGTTAGAGTTAGACTTCAGGCTGTGAATGTTTTTCTTGAATAATAAAGTATATAATTATTATTGGTGTATTTCTTTCTACTTTCAGTCTTAAGACCCAGCTGAATGATTTAACATACTGTCCTTTAACCTCTAGTTTCAAATTCAGCCCTGTTAGATTGAAAGTCTCCCCTCTTTGCCAAAAGGTGATGTGAACCTGGATCAAAAGCAAAATACTACAGACATTGGAAATGGAAATAAAAATAGAACATGTTGGAAATGCTCAGCAGGTCAGGCAGCATCTGTAATGAAAGAAACGAGAGTTAACATTTCAAATCAGTTTCATCAGCACTGGAAGATGTTAGAGAATTAACAGATTTATGCAGTAGCAGGCCAGGTAAAAGAGCTTGGACAGTGGACAGTAAAGGGGGATGTCTATCATAGAATAATGAACAGGAGCGATTCAATGAAAAAAGTAAGAGTGGGTGGTATCAGGACAAGCAAAGAAACAAAAGATAGATTCAAGAGCAAAACAAATGGTTACGGCATTATTACAGCAATGGTTACAAATAGCAAAGGGGAGGAACACGTGGGAGATGCTGCAAAAAGGAGCTATCAGTGCAGATCTGAGTTTGGGCGCATTTCCGCTGAATAATAACTTCTTAATTTGGAAATATCTTACCTGAGAATGGAGATAAGGACAGCTAATGGAATAAATAATGGGGAGGTGGTGGCTTAGTGTTAATGTCACCGGAATAGTAAATCAGAACTTCAGTTCAATGCTCTCAGAATGTGGGTAAAAATCTCATCATGGAAGGTTTTGAAATGTGAATTTGATTTTAAAAAATTAAAAATAAACTAGCTTAATGTTGACCACATAACCATTGTTGTAAAAACTCACGTGGTTCACTAATGTCATTTAGGGAAGGAAATCTGCTGTCCATACCTGGTCTGGTCTACGTGTGACTCCAGACCCACAGCAATGTGGTCGACTCTGAATTGCCCTCTGAAATAGCCAGGGAGTTAGTCAATTTAAGGGCAACCAAGAATAAGCAACAAATGATGGCCTTGTTAGCAAAGCATACATTAATACAATTTTGTTTTAAAAACAAGAACTTCATATAAGCAGGAAGTATTCTGAGATTTACATTGTGGCGTTGACATCACTTCCATCCCTTTAAGATCTAAGCCACTAATTTATGATTAACAATGTAGCAGCAAAAAGTCAAGAAAATCTAATGGTGTAAAAATCAAACTCCTAACTGACATAAGATATGTATATTCTTGTGGTAGTAACAGGACAATAAGTCAAAATGTGTGGAAGATAGGACAGACCTTTGAAATGTAGATGCCACAATATGCTAAACATTCCCTATGCAGATGGAAAGACAAATGCAAGGTCCTTGAATTTGCAAGAGCAAAAAGAATGTAAAAAGTGACATCCAAAAAAGAAAATATTGCAGCCATTTTATCACAGCTAAAAAGCTACAATGAACTCTTCGAGAGAGAAATGATAAGGGCTGCAGGAAGACTAGTTATATTTGAATGATGGATGTCACAGGGCGGTTGCAGACAAATTACAGTGGCTCGGTGAAGTTGCCACAAAACAAATGTTTGCGACAGATCATGATGGCAGATCTCTAGGCAGAAGTAGCTACAAGCAACAGCTGCAGTAATAGGAAGGTCACAGTTTCAATGCCTTGTCTCAGTGATAACAACCTGGTAAATGAGAATAAGTAAATCTCATTTGGGGGAAGAATCAGTCTCAGTTTTTGTGCCTTCATAGTCAATTAGCATATTGATGCTCATTGTCTGGCTTGCAACTGAAGACTGCCTTTAAGCACAGATTAATATCTGTACCATTTCTTACGTGTGTGGAATGTCTTACTACACAGGGATTATTTGGAATTGAGTAAAATTCACAATTAATATGTACTTACTGCACTGAGATGAAAAGAACTTCTGGCACAATCTGTTGGCAAGTTCTATTTGTTTTTTGCTGTGTTCACTGTGACTAGGAAGCTTAACGCATCAGTCTACTGATTGCCTCCAGCGCTCATCTGTTGTTATCATCCTAAACATACAAACAAAAATATTTTTAAAGTACCTTGATTTCCCAAGGTACCAGTAAATTAAGAGGAAGAAGTGTTGATTTTTGCTATTTCTCCTTCTAGTTTTTCATCATAATACTACTGATCTTCATAGCTCAGATTGCGGGTGCTGTGGTTGTCCTTGCATTCTCTGGCTTGGTAAGTATCTCTAAAATACAATGGTTCAACAATATCATTTCAACATAATCATGGGAGGAAAAACATTGAGGAGATGCATTTAGGAGAACGGAATGCACAATTAGGCAATAAGAAATCACACAGTAGCTCAGGAGGTGATGCAGCATGTAACTAAGCATATCAGTCAGATCATTGAATGATAGAAATTTGACAGCACAGAAGGAGGCCATTTGGCCCATCATATTTGTGCCAGTTGAGAAGAAGCCATCCAGTCTAATCTCACTTCCCAATGAGGGCAGCATGGTAGCTCAGTGATTAGCATTGCTGTCTCACAGCGCCAGGGAATGGGCTTCCAAAACACCCTTGGACAACTGTCTGTGTCGAGTTTGCACATTCTCCCCATGTGTGTGTGGGTTTCCTCCAGCTTCCCCAGTTTCCTCCCACAGTCCAAAGATTTGCAGGTTAAGTGGATTGGCCATGCTAAATTGGCAAGTGTCCACAAATACACAAGCTAGGTGGGAAGTGTGGGTTTACAGGGATAGGTCTGGCTGAATGTATTTATGAGGGATGGTGTGGACCCAATGGGCTGAATGGCCTGCTTCCACACTGTAGGAATTCTATGATTCTGATAGTACCTCAGTCCATACTCTGGAGGTTACAGCATTTCGAGTGATTTTTAAATGTAGTGAGGGTTTCTGCCTCTACCAGCCTTTCAGCTAATGAGTTCTAGAGCCCTACTGTGCTCTGGATGAAAAACATTTTCAACTCCCCTTGTCTCTCCCACCAATTAGTTTAAATCAATGCTCCCTGTTCACTGACCTCTCGCTAAGGAAACAGTTCCTTTCTATCGATGCAAGGCTTCTCATTATTTTACGGCGGTATGATACAGTTCACTCAGGGAGTCCAACTTGGTGTAGCAATGTGAACATGTACATGCGTGCTGTAGTCTGCAGCAGTGGTAGAGGCTTGATCATTCTTTCCATCATGTGGGTGCCCGGGAATCTCCCCTGCTGTTACCGCCTGCCTTTGGCTTACGTGGTGGAAGGATTTGCAGGTTAATAATCAACCTGTTTTGGCCAGGTCATCTCCTTTGCACTCAAAGTATAATTTGAATCTAATGCTTCTTGCTCAAAAGCAGAGACACTACTCAGTGAGCCATAAGTCTTGCCTCATCATTTTATGCACATCAGTTAAATCTTACCTCAACTTGCTCTATTCTAAAGAAAACAACACTTGCTAATCTAATTTGTCATTGTTGCTAAAATTCTCCAGTCCTGGCGACACCTACACAAATCTTCTGAACCAGGTGGTTTTACCTAGGGTAGTTGAGCAGCTGTAATGCCTTCAGTACCCCAGCTGTAGGATGGGAAATTGATCCAGTTTCATGTGTTGTGAATATATTAGTGTGACTTAAGCTGGAAAGTGTACTTTTACAGATGAGGGTTTGGGACAAAAATACCTCTGTGATGAACTAGCTTCGCAATAATGACTGTCAAGGTTCATGTGTGAAGACTGACCAATTGGGTGAGAAACTTAAAATGGACAGAGATTGGTAACTTGAAGAAATAATTGCCTTTGGTAGAAGAACAGGAACCAGAGAACCGTCTCTGTTACGTCATCACATATCTTTAATATTTATGGGGCCCTGGGACGTGTTGCCAAACAAAGAGACCTAGAAGTGTAGGTGCTTCTTGAAAGTGCAGTCGCAAGTAGACAATCTAGTGAAGAAGATGTCAGGCACTCTTGCCTTCACTAGTCAGTGCATTGAGTATAGGAGTTGGTGTGCCATGTTGTGGCTGTACAGGACATTAGTTAGACTACTTTTGGAATAATGCCTTTAGTTCTGGTCTCCCTGTTACAGGAAAAGATGTTGTTAAATGTTAAAGGATTCAGAAAAGATTTACAAGGATGTTGCCAGGTTTGGAGGGTTTGAGCTATAGGGAGAGGCTGAATAAGCTGGGTTTTTTTGTCCCCCATGGAACATTGGAGGCTGAAGTTTATAAAATCATGACGGGCATGCATAGGGTGAATAGCCAGTGTCTTTTTCCCAGGGTAGGGGAGTCCAAAACTAGAGGGCATAGGTTTAAGGTGAGAGGGAAAGAGTATTAAGTAAAGTGCAGTAAGTAACATTTCTGCTTTCGAGTCAGAAGCATCAGATTCAAGTTATACCTTGAGTGCAAAGAAAGGTGCATTCATATTGTGGCCAAAACAGGTTGTTTATTAACCTGCAAATCCATCCATCACATAAGCTTTTTCACACAGAGGGTGGTGGGTGTATGGAACAAGTTGCCAGAGGAAGTGGTGGAGGCGGCTGTCTTGACTCACAAGTTCCATTCCACATCACCTTTGAGCTTGCAGGCCTATTTGGTTCCTTGTCAAACAACATCTTAATTCTAAAAGTCTCATCCTTGTTTTCAATTTCCTCCACAGCCTTGTCCCTCCCTTTCTTTGTAATCTCTGAGCTCCTGATATTCTGGCCTCTTGTGTACTCCCAATTGTAATCGCTGAACTATTGGTGGCCATATCTTCAATTACGTGCAGCTCAATCTCTGGAATGCTATGATTATACCCATATTTCTCTCTGCATTGCTTTCCTCCTTTAAGACCCTCCTTAAAACCTACTTCTTAATCAAAATTTAGATCAGCTGACCTTATATTTTCTTAAGTGACTCAGTGTCATACTTCTTTTAAAAATAATGTTCTACATAAATATTCATTTTCATAGAATCCCTACAGTGTGGAAACAGGTTCTTCGGCCCAACAAGTCTACACTGAGCCTCATAAATTGTTTTGTTTGTACACACAGAAGGATAACCAGGCTCAGTAAATCAGGTGTAACAGTAGATATTGCAGATTGAACAGTAGGTAACAATTAATCTGCTTCAGCTGAGTGTTGTTGCTAAATATAACGTCTAGAATCAACAAAATGAACATGTTGAAATAGCTATGATCCCTCATTTCAAAATTATTTCTTAAATGAGTCTGTTTTGTTTTCCAGGCTGACATTTTTATTGGTTACATTCAGATCTGGGCGGTGAAATCAATCAAAGATGAATATGGCAAAAGTTCAGACATGACTGCACTATGGGATGTAGTGATGAAAGAGGTAAATAATGTATAAGATATGAATGTTATAAAATTATACGTGTGGAAAGTATATTATAAAACATGTAATAGAAGAGCATTTAGAAATATGTAATATGATCAAGCAGAGTCAGCATGGCTTCACGGAGGAAAAATTATGTTGAACAAAATTATCAGAATTCATTGAGGACGTAACGAGCAGGTTAGGTAATGGGGAACAAAACAAAGAACTGCAGATCTGAAACAAACAAAAACAGAATTTGCTGGGGAAACTGGGCAGGTCTGGCATCATCTGTGGAGCGAGAAACAGGGTTAATGTTTTGTGACCCTTCTTCAGAGCGGGCTAGCATACAAGTTCAGCAGGTAAAAGGGAAAGCAAATGGATATTTGTCTTTATTACGAGTAGAATGGCGTATACTGCTTAAATTCTGCAAGGCAGTAGTCAGACCACGGCTGGTTTTGTGAACAGTTCTGGGCCCTTACCTCAGAGGGATTTTGGGGACATTCAGGCATTGGAGGCAGTCTAGAGAAAATTCACTAGGTCAATCGCGGGTAGGGGTATACTATCTTATGAGGACATATTGAGTAGATTGGGCCTGTACTCATTGGAGTTTAGAAGAACCCATTAAGATTCTTATGGGACTTGACAGGGTAGAAGTGGAAAGGTTGTTTCCCTTATGGGAAAGTCTAGAACCAGAGGCCATAATCTCAGAGTGAGGATTCACTCATGTGAGACAGAGATGAAGAGGAATTTCCTCTCTGAGGGTAGTGAATCAGTGGAATTTTTTTTACCGTGCCACAGACGGCTGGAGCAACTGTGTTGTTAAGAATATTCAAGGCTGAGATAGACAAGATTTTAATCAAGATCGAAAGAACTGCGGATGCTGTAAATCAGGAACAAAAACAAAGTTGCTGAGGTCCATCTGTGAAGATTTTAATCAGTTAGGGAATTAAAGGTTATGAGGAAAAGGCAGGAAAGTGGAATTGAGGATTATGATCTCATTGAGTGCTAGAGCAGACTTGATGGGTTGAACGACCTACTTCTGCTAATATGTCTTATGGTCTAATAAATCTAATGTTAAAACTCAGGCTGAATTTTGTAGCTAAATGTATTTTTTTAATGTAAGTTTTGAGAACTGATCTGTCCACTGCCCCATCTACAAAAACAAAGAATAAAGAACAAACGCATCACTTAATAATATTTTAAAGGTGTTCAGTCACATCATATGCTGCAAGAGATGGACCTTGAATCACAGTTGTCAACTTAGGGAAGGCACCCCTAGTTAAGAAAAGAAAGTGGAGTGGTGCAAAATCAGTAAAGCCTCCAACGTAGGAACAATAAGAAAAAGTAGTTTTGTACTTGATTTTGAACTTAAGGCAGACTGGAGGCCACTTAATACCTGATGGTACAAGGTGGCTGATGTGCAATACATACTCCATTCACTTTTGATGGTGTGTGAATTAAAATAAAACACTGACCAGAAAAACATATACAGGGTATGTGTCCTAATGTCTCTGAACAGATTGATTAAAAATACCTACATGATAAAACAAGGAAAAGAAAAATTTGAATTTAGAATCATAGACATGATACAGCACAGAAGGGGGCCATTTGGCCTGTCTTATCCATGCTGACCCAAAGACACCCAGATGACCTTTCTAATCCCATCTTCCTGCACACGGCCCATATCCCTGCATCTTACAGCTCTTAAGGTGTGGATCCAGGTGTTTAGGATCTCTGCCTCCACCACCAACTCAGGCAACAAATTCCAGACTTCCACCAACCTCTGTGTAAAAATGTTTTTCCTTCTGTTCCCCTCTAATCCTTCTGTCACTTAGCCTGAATCTATAGTCCGTGGTTTTTGAACTCTCTGCCAAGTGAAACAGCTTTCTCCTGTCTACTCTATCTCTACCCCTCATAATTTTGTATACCTTATTCATGTCACCCCTCAACTTTCTCTGTTCCAAGGAAAACAATCCCAACCTCCCCAGTCTCTCCTTGTAGCAACATTCTCTAGCCCTGGCAACATTCTAGTAAATCTTCTCTGGCACTTTCTCCAGAGCAATTACATCCTTCCTTAATGTGGTATCGAGAACTGCATACAATACTTCAGTTGTGGCCTCACCGGTGTCTTATTTAGGTTCATCATTATATCCTTACTTTTGTATTCTATACCTCTGCCAATGAAGGAGAGTACTCCATATGCCTTGTTTACAACCTTATCCACCTGCACTGCTACTTTTAGAGAGTTGTGCACTTGCACATCGAGATCTCTCACTTCATCTACCCCTCTCAGTATATTCCCATTCATTGTGTATTCCCTTAACTGTTTGACCTCCCTAAATGCATTACCTCACTCTTATCAGAGTTGAAGTCCATCTGCCATTTTCCTTCAACCCATCTATATCATTTTGGAACTTATAGTTATCATCTACACTATCCACTACATGGCCAATTTTTGTGTCGTCTACAAATTTCCCAACTGTGACCCCTTGTTCAAATCCAAATTGTTATTGTATTAAAAAATAGCAAGGGCCCCAACAGCAAGCCCTGCAGAACACCACCTGAAACAGCTTTCCAGTCGCAAGGGTAGTCATCGACCATTACCCTTTGTTTCCTGTTACGAAGCCAATTTTGGATCCAATTCCACACATTACTCTGTATCCCTTGGGCTTTTACTTTTTTGATCAGACTGCCACGTGAGATGTTGTCAAGTGGATTACCAAAATCCATGCAGACAACATCCGCTGCACTACCACCATCAAACCTCCTTGTCACTTCTTCAAATAATTCAATCAAATTTGTAGAGGCATGACCTTTCCTTAACAAAGCCATGCTATCCCTGACTAGTCCATGCCTTTATAAGTGACAGTTTATCTGATCTCTCAGGATTGATCCTAACAATTTGCCCACCACCAAGATCAGACTAATTGGCCTATAATTGTACCCTTTTTAAACAACGGAACCACATTTACATTCCTCCAGTCCTCTAACATCTCATCTGAGTCTAGTGAAAATTGGAAAATAATCATCAGAGCATCTGCTATTTCCTCCCTGACTTCCTTCAATAACATAGGGAACAATCCATCTAGTCCTGGCAACTTATTCACTTTCAAAGATTCCAACTCCTCTAACATTTGGTGTCTCGTTATGATTATTTCATCCAAGACTACACACTGCTCCTGTTGGATTTCTATACCTAAATCACGCCTTTCCTTTATGAATACGGAGACAACCACTTCATTTAAAATTCATGCCATATCTTCTGCATCTTCACACAAGTTTGCTCCTTCATCTTCGATACATCCACTTTTACCTTAACTAACATTTTGTTCTTTGAATATTGGTAAAACATCTTTTTACCAATGCTAACATTTTTTTCATGCCCTGACTTTGATTTCCTTTTTTTTTCACTTGAACCCTGTACTTTCTATATTCCTATCTGCCAAGTTGAATTTTTTGTGGTTATCATAAGTTTTTCTGTTTAATCTTCTCCTATTTTTCTAGACAACCATGGGGTTCTAGATTTGGCCATACCATTCTTATTTTTGGAGAGGACATGTCTACTTTGTGCCCCAAAGATCTCACTTTTTAACAGCAGAGAATCAGGTCTTTAAAAAAAGAGAGGTGTTGTGGTGCAGTGGTAGTGTCCCTTACTTTTGGACCAGAAGACCCAGGTTCAAGTCTCACGTGCACCTGACGTGAATAAGGCTGAAAAGTTTGGTTTTTACAAAAAAATCTATATCTGGATTCTGACTAATTGACACTTTACTCTCTAATTTTAACATGGGCGATCTACTTACAGACATTCATAAAATCGCCATGGTATGGGAACAGGCAGCAAATAGTACACTTTCAGCTTCCATCCAATACTGCTGTAAGCATGTCAATCAGCCCTCTCTCTCAAGTAGGCTTATTATCTCAAAATTCTATTTGTTGGGTCAAGCTACGTAAAATGTTCCTTTTTTCAACTTTCCACTATTCTCACCTCTGTTGTTATATGTTGGTTTATCACAATATACTCTAAGAGGAATAAAGGATTTGAGTAAATAGGAGGGCCAGCACAGACTAGATCGGTTGAACAGTCTCTTTCTGTGCTATAAGTATTGTATTATTCTATTGTATATATGCACTGCATTCTGTGTAAACAAGCTGAAAATTGCAGTTCATTAGAAGTTTTCAATACAAACTAAAACACTTTAGATATTTTCCAACTAACTTGTTCAGAGATGTCATTGCACACCTGGGGAGCAGGTGGGACTTGAACCCAGAATGCTTGGTCTAGAGGTAGGGTCATTACCACTGTGCCACAAAACTACTCTAAAACTTTTTATTGACTTGATTGTCACATGGTTCAGATGAGTATGGTGAGGCTGTTCCATACCCAGCTGAAAACTATAACAACCTCCCCAAAAAGCATTTCTCTCAGAAACATATACAATTTACATTTATATAGCATCTTTGACATGTAATTATTTACTACAGTTCTGCATTCAACTTGCATTTGTAAACAATAACAAATCCAGACAAGCTATGTTGTTTTTAAACTAAATACTTATTCTAATACCTGATCAGCATACTTTACCATGTTGAGTATTAGAAAATGTTTTGAAACCACATTCATTGTTTTGTAAATCTCTTTTTCCTTTGTTTCTTTTCCAGTTCAAGTGTTGTGGATTCAAAAACTTTGATGATTTTACAAACTCACCTTTCTACAATGATACATTAAAAAAGTATCCCCAGCAATGCTGCAACTCTCAATCGCATTGTTTTGGTGCCGACATTAATCATTCTGTGCCGGTAATGTTTGCAGTGATAAACAACTTTACCTCATCATTTGACTTTTTTATATTATTATGCCTCCATGCAATCTGTTACAAAGCAACACTTGGCCACTGCTGAGGTACTGAGTCTCCCACTTAAGAAGGTGGGGTCAGTTGCTGGTGTGCCTCCACACCCAGAGAGTGACTTTCCACCTTCAGGCCCACAGCAATACCTTTATGTTGAACCTTCTCCAAGGTGTTGTGCCATAATGATATACTTCTTCCATCAGGTGCCTCAATTATCTTTTTCCAGGAGTTGTATGTCATTTAACTAGACCCAGTCAAAGTTTGGGACATGGTCAGGAACGGGTTCCTTCATCAATACGGGTTCTGCCAGGTTGTGGAGGACAGTGCTCGGGATGCTGAGCTGACCAGACTCAGGGACGTGTTGAATGGCAAAGGTGCGGATGGGTAACACCAGAACTGTTAGCTGAGAGCTGAGAGAGCTGACAGTTGGCCAACATCCAGCACGTGACCTGAGCCATCCAGCACCTTATGAATGAGGTGCTTGGGCCTAATATGTCTCTAAAAATTAGGGCCCTTCCTGTTTCCATTGGGGTGAAGAGTGCTGCACGTGACAGTCCTATGCACACATAGGCTTTGGAAGTACAGCAGGTCCCAGGCTACATGTAGTTTTTTTGGTCTGGATATAAATGTTTTTCATATCTGTGTTGATTGTTTTCATGTGCAGCTCCTCTTTAGCTTTTTGAAGGGGCTTCTCCTCAATTTTTGGTTGCACATCAGCCCCACATTCCTGATGTATGTGTGCCCTGAGCGGGGTGGGCAGGCAGGTCACATGGCTCCCTTGTGGATCTGTCCCTTGGCCTAGCCATCGAAAGATCCGAGGCAACAGGCTGTGGAGGGGTTCATAGTGCCTGACTGCCTGCTGATGTTTCACAGTTAAGTCCATGCTCATGCGTCCATTGAGAGGGAGCATGCAGTGTCCACTGGTGTTTAGAGACTGGTGGGCACTGCAGGAGCTGGGTGTATGATCACCCTGAACAAAATTACACCATTTGTTATTTTTATTTCATAAATTTCTGTTTTGTTATGTAAGTTTCTATTAACCGTTAATTTGCATTATTGTTACAGTGTCCCATTAGGGGCCGTTGAACCAAATTTTGTTTGCTTAAAGGGGTAGAGATGTAGATTAGAGACGTAGATTAAAGCAATTATTAACATCAGGAAGGTGTCATGTTCAGCAGAATGTAACTCAATCATCAGTATTTTTGGTTTGGTCCCATTATCTGGTTAATCAGCTGAGTTGAGTTCAACGACAGTAATAGAAAGAGAGGAAGAAAATGTAGTGTCGTGCACAACCATAGGATGTCCCAAAGTGTCTCACGGTCAATAAATTACTGATTGAGGTATAGTCACTGTTAGTAAGCAGACAAAGTAGGAGACACTTTGCAAAAAATAAAATCTCCCCAAAAAGCAATGAAATTAGATCATTTAACTTTGTTTTAGTGCTGGTGAAGGAGAAATGTTATCCATTTCCATGGTCAAACAGTGACATAGCATCTTTTATAGCATCTTTGTGGACGGGCTTGTGTTTAAGGTCTTGTCCAAAAGACGTTACCCAAAACAAAGCAACTTCCCCTAAACCAGTGCTTCCAAAACTTGTCGCCAATGTGACCCCATTTTGAGACTTGAAAATTGTCATGACCCCTCAATGACAGATGTGAGAACGAGGTGTGGGAGTAAAAACAAGCAGTGAGTGTCAGAACAGAGCATGAGACTGGGCCTTTTTTGGACCAGGACTGAGGCCTCAAAATTCAGTCAGTTCGACCATGCTCAGAAGCGAGGATTAAAGGCCTCTCGTGAATTACATGGATTTGGAAAGGCAAGGACTGATTAGGGATAGTCAATATGGCTTTGTGTGTGAGAAATCGTGTCTCACTAATTTGATTGAGTTTTTTTGAAGAGGTGATAAAAAAGATTGATGAAGGCAGAGTGGTAGATGTTGTCTATATGGATTTAAGCAAAGTATTTGACGAGGTTCCGCATGGTAGGTTGGTTAGGAAGGTTAGATCGCTAGCCACTTGGATACAAAATTGGCTTGACATTAGGGGACAGTGGTGTGGTAGAGGACTGGAAGCCTATGACCGGCAGTTTGCCACAAGGATCAGTGCTGGGTCTACTGCTTTTTGTCATTTATATAAATGATTTGGATGTGAACATAGGAGGCATGGTTAATAATTTTGCAGATGACACCAAAATAGATGATGTAGTGGACAGTGAAGAAGATTATCTCAGAGTACAACTGGACTTTGATTAGATGGGGCAATGGGCCGAGGAGTGGCATATAGCATCCACCACTTCCTCTGGAAGTTCATTCCACATACAAACCATTCTCTGCGTAAATGAATTGACCTTCATGTCTTAAATCATTCTCCTCTCACCTTTAAAGATATAACCCTAATCTTGAAGTCCCCCTCCCTAAGGAAAAGACATCTGCCATTCACCTTATCTATACCCCTCATGATTTTATAAACCTCTACAAGGTCACCTCTCAACCTCCTATGCTCCGGTGAAAAAATGTCCCAGCCTATCTAGCTTAATAATATTCTTCTATAACAGGGCAACAAGAACTGGACATAGTGCTCAAGAAGAGGCCTCACCAATGTCCTGTACAACCTCAACATAATGTCCCAAGCCCTATACTCAAAGGTCTGAGCAATGAAGGCAAGCGTGCTGAAGGCCTTCTTAACCACCATATCTATATGTGATGTAGGTCTCTCTGTTCTACGACACTACCCAAGGCCTTACTTTTCACTGTATAAGTCCTGCCTTTGTTTGTTTCACCAAAATACAACACCTCGCATTTATCTAAATTAAATTCCATTTGGCACTCTTCAGCTTATTGACCCAATTGATCTTTGTAATCTTAGATAACCTTCTTCACTGTCCACTATATCACCAATTATGGTGTCATCCACAAAACTTACTAGCTGTGCTACTGAGTCACAATTTGGAACTGAATCAAGATTTTTTTTTAAGAAGTAATTCATGAGATGTGGGTGGTGCTGGTGGAGGGGCAGCATTTATTGCACACCCTGAGCTGCATCTTGAGAAGATGGTGACAAGTAGCCTTGAACCACTGCTGTCCATTTGGTGGAGGTAGACCCACAATGCTTTCAGGGAGAGAGTTTCAGGATTTTGACCGAGCAACAGAGAAGAAACAGCAATATATTTCCAAGTCAGGACAGTGAGTAGCCTGCAAGGGAACTTGCAGGTTGTTGGTGTGCCTGTTTCTGCTTTTGTCCTTCCAGATGGTAGTGGTCATGGGTTTGGAAGGTTCTGTTGTACCTGTACTTTAAGTATCAAGAAATCCCAATCATAACGGAAGGGAGGTTTCCTCTGTCTGTCCCATATTCCAAACCCTCCTACTTCCCCACCCAGAAATTTGGGTAATGTCCAAAGATATTTAACTACTTCAAGACAGTGGTGAAATATACTCCTGCTAAATTCAACATAATTGCTTTTGCCGAGAGCAGAAGTTGGTCATGTTCTGAGCTAAGTGAAAGGAGCAAAAGTATGAACTCCAACAGAGGTCAATACAAGTTGGATCCTGCCTTTGTAGAGGATCTTCTGAGTTTCTGTTGCCTTTATTGGCCATGTGTGTTGGATATGCTGCAGTGCTACTGTCCAACCTTAATCATTTCAGTGATCCTTGGATTTGGAACAAATCTACCTGCACGGGCCATGGTGGCAACAGAAGGTGTTCTTGCTCTAAGCTCAGACATTTGATGTTACTGTAGGATTTCCGGGCTCGTATCTTTGAGGAGAAAAGTAAGATTTCAAAGACAAAAGATTGTATGTAATTCTTTAAAATTGTTTCAGGGTTGCTACCGCTCACTTCTTGACTTTTTGAAGACAAACACCAAGGTTCTTGGTATCGTGGCTTTGGGAATTTGTGCACTGGAGGTAATGTATTAAGTAGCACATACAGCACAGAAACTAGCCATTCAGTCTAACCAAGGGTCCATGTTTTATGGTCCAGACCTTCTATCTTTAAGCATCTAAAACTATCATTATAATCTTTTCTATTTCCTACTCCCTCAAATGCTTTTTTGTTTGCTTTCCCTTAAATGTAGCTGCAGTAATCACTGTAGCCACTCCCTCTGGGTGAAGACATTTCTTTTGAATTCTCTATTGGATTTATGGGTGACTCTCCTATATTGCTAATCTCCAGTTATGCTGTTCTCCTCAAGAGGAAATGGTCATTTTTATCCACTCTATTCATCATTTTAAAGACCTGTGTTAGGTTACCCCTCTGGTTTCTTTTTTCAGACAAGAAAGAGACCCAGCCTTTGTCAAGCCTTCCCTGATATGTAAACCCTCATATTTCTGGTATCATATCTTTAAATCTTCTCTACACACTCTCAAGTGCCTCAAAATCCTTTTTATAATATGACATCCAGAACTGCATACCTTATTTTAAATAAAAACCAAAAGAACTGCGGATGCTGTAAATCAGGAACAAAAACAAAGTTGCTGGGAAAGCTCAGCAGGTCTGGCAGCATCTGTGAAGGAGAAAACAGAGTTAGCGTTTCGGGTCTGGTGACCCTTCCTCAGA